TAATGCCTCCAACAGTAGTGGCCTATGCATGATGACAGTGAGCCTAGTGAGAAAGGGAACAATTACCTTACTGTCTACATGAGTGTACAGCAGGGCTCTGCACACTGCTGTCCTGTATGTTCATGCCGGCATGCACTATACATTGTACTGATAAACACAGCTTGCCCTGATTAGACCTTTGATGCCCCCCCCCCCCCGGACTCACTACGTCATTGTTACATGTACAGCAGCTCTCTGCACACTGCTGTCCGGGATGTTCATGCCGGCATGCACAATAGTTAAAGGGGCACTCCGGCTTCATTTTCGACGCCGAGTTTTCGATGCCAAGACGAAGGTAGGTGAAAGAGAAGACCCCTCGAACAAGAACGAGTCTCCAGAAGCGATCGAGTCGAGCAGGAAGACGACTTTTGAATTTAGGCCGAGCGAGCGCTGATGACGTAATGAGGGATTAGCTTGCCAGTGGAAATGCATCTGCGCACATACATTTCACACACTTTTTGGCCAATTTTCAATCGAAGAGGAGGTTGTTTGCTATGTTCTCCCAACGCCGTGAGCGATCCCGTCTTCTATACCCTTCCAGGTACCCTGAAGGTCCTCCAGAGGAGAATTTATCTCCATCAAAGCGTTGTTGATCCGCTAAATTCGTCTCGAGACATATTCACCCAGTGCAGTGCTGATAAATGTAGAATGTTGAATCTGTGATAATTGTCGACGATGGAGAGAGAGGTTGATAGCCGCTGTCGCAGGGAAAGTGAAGCTGCTGGAAGTAACAACTGGGAGCTTGTTAGCATAACTTGATCAAAGCAGCTTGACGGAATCGGGGAGTACTGACTATTTGTCTCGCCCTCAGTTTAGTGAATTTTATGACCAGAAAATTATTCGATCAGGATCCCTTCTAGAAGATGTGTAGTACAGGTGATTTCTGAACTTGACGATATGGAGACCGACCAGTAGACCTACCAACAACGTGTACCTGCAGGAAATTCAGCCAAGGCTATTGCTAATGCTATCCTCTTCAGTGGCTGTTGTTTTTTTAGTAAAAATATGTTCACTTCTCTCAACATACTCCTGCATGGCAGCAAGAAGATGCGCTATGGAATTCAACACCACAATATTCGCCTAGCTGTGGATGAAGCATGGTCAAGTCATGGCAGTACATATACTTGAACCAGATGAGAAATTGAAGTTCATTTGTGATGCGAAGTTTGACAGCCCCAGTGACGGAGTCAAGCGTTGTCTTTTGCCGTGGCACAAATTGCTGAAGAATCCGAGATGGTCTTGGAATTATGCACATGGATACTACCAGAAATAATGGTGGCATGAACCATTGTGGAATGGGACAGCTCACGGAGAATACTGGAATAGCTCAAGTATCTCTAGGTGATTGTAAATCCTGTTCTGGCTTATAGCTTCGGCCTGCTGCGCCCGTCCATGTACAATGATGGGAAGATGCATTTCTGTTTTCTACATATGACCAGCGCTTTGGCCGAGCGGTTGTGGGCTTGCCTGCGAATCACAAGGTCCCAAGTTCGAGACCCGCGCTGGGAGCAGGGAGCGTGTGCTGTGCTAGCAAATGCGGTAATGCACGCATGAACCACTTTACATGCAGTGAACTGCGCCGATACCCACAGTCAACTGGGTACTCACTACTCGGAGTGAGGGCAACATGGATGCAGCTAACAAGGTTAGCCCCCTTGTCATGCATTGTTTGTGAGACTTACCACCTCACCCTCGCCATTAGGCGCTGCATCTGCCACCCTGGCATCATAGGCATGGTGGTGGCCTGGCACATTCGAAACTTCCGCTGGTTGTGTTTCTCAACAAACTTTACTTTTTTTTTACTTTACATATTTGCCATCTACTGTACTGTGGTATTACAGTTGCAGGTCCCTTATATAGAAATATGTTCAACCCCCCTCCCACATACCCACATAAATATGAACTAACAATTTCACTGTTGGACTCGCCGGCGGCTAGAGAGCAAAGGATTAATTTATAGCAAAGAAAAGGACCAGGGAACTACAAGTTACGCTATAATGTCCACGAACAATTTCACTGTATTTGAAATAATTTTGTTTGATACCCTGAGAACTCTGAAACTTTGCAGCACTGTGGATTATATGTGGATACAACATTTATGGAAAGAACACATTGTTCAAATAATTATAGCACTGAATTGTTGAGATTGTGAGCACATTCCAATCAGTACTCTACATAAGTGGTGGCAATCGTTAGGAATAGGTCGTGAGTTGTCAGAGTGCTCTAGTATATGAGAGAATGTTTTGTTTGTCTAATCGACGGCTCGTTTGAAGCCAGAGTTGTTTGAACTTGTTTCAGTCGACTTGATTCTAGACAGTAGTCGAAGGAGTACTATGAAGTATACACCAGGCGTAGTCCGTAAGGTATCTCGTGAGAATTCTGTCGGTACACATCAGGTATCAGCTTGCAAAGATGGCTCCTCTCTGTTTCTTGAAAGCCTGTATAGTTGGACTGTGGCTCCAGCGATTCCCTTCTCAGAGCAGGTACCATACCCAATACGGTCAATGCATATTGGACAGACCTGTGTGCACAACAGAAATAGTGGAGAGAAATCTCTCAGCTCATGAACACATCAGTGAAGTTTGAACTGCCGTTGTTTGTGGCCATCAGTATAAACCTATCGACTATAAGAATAATGTGCAAACACCCCTCTATAACTACAGCTGGGGCCATGGAATTAGAAAGCATCTAACTTAGGGAACTGCCAATTCTGGTCGGAGTTGCGTTCAAGGCCTGCAATTCATGATGGCTATCGCATGTTGCATTGACCAGAGATCATATAAAACTTCCATGCCACATTGAAACACGCACTACTTTCGAGTACTTTGGTATCCCCCACCAAATGAGCATTCGGTCCCAGGGTGGCAGACATCACCATTCGTTATACCTGGATCAGATTAGATTGACCCCAACTGTCATGAAGAATCATTTTTACTTTGACTGGATTTCAGTACAAGTTGTAGAACTGCAGAATAAATTTTGTTGTATTTGGGCAACCATTTCTCTACAAACGCTCTATTTGGAAAATATAAATTTTTTATAAAATACATGTCCAAATTCCACATCTACCCAAATCGGAATACTTGATCACGTATTCAGTCCTACACGGAATGTTTAGAAAACGCCAGGGGATAGGAATTTGCTAACGAGAACTCCAGGCCAGGGTACTAGCATACGAACAAAACAAGATAAAAACTCACCAGTATACATGTACTTGTAGTAATTCATGTCGGTGTAATATTCACGATAAGCAACGAGGCACCCTCCGATTTGGTCAAACTGCTTTGAAGTCTGGTTGTTCAGGTGATACAAACGGGCTCCCCGTTGTTACTTCCAGCAGCTTCACTCTCCCTGCGACAGCCGCTATCAGCCTCTCTCTCCATCGTCGACAATTATCACAGATTCAACATTCTACATTTATCAGCACTGCACTGGGTGAATGTGTCTCGAGACGAATTTAGCGGATCAACAACGCTTTGCTGGAGATAAATTCTCCTCTGGAGGACCTTCAGGGTACCTGGAAGGGTATAGAAGACGGGATCGCTCACGGCGTTGGGAGAACATAGCAAACAACCTCCTCTTCGATTGAAAATTGGCCAAAAAGTGTGTGAAATGTATGTGCGCAGATGCATTTCCACTGGCAAGCTAATCCCTCATTACGTCATCAGCGCTCGCTCGGCCTAAATTCAAAAGTCGTCTTCCTGCTCGACTCGATCGCTTCTGGAGACTCGTTCTTGTTCGAGGGGTCTTCTCTTTCACCTACCTTCGTCTTGGCATCGAAAACTCGGCGTCGAAAATGAAGCCGGAGTGCCCCTTTAACACAGCTTGCCCTGATCATTAGACCTTTGATCGGCCCCTCACTACATTGTATAATAATAATATTATTGTGTACAGCAGCGCTCTGCACACTGCAGCCTAGGATTTTCATACCTGTAACCATGCAGTGCACTTCACACACTGTGGCACAGCTTGCCCTGATTAGACCTTTGATTGGCCGCTCACAACTCTACACCGCACAGTAGACCCTGCTGCAGTCTCTCTGCAGGGGCAGGGAGTCCTGCTGAGTGTAGGCTCAGTAGTGCAAGTGGTCTTGTTTGCTCAGGAAAATCTTTCTGTTCTGCAGTGAGCCTATTGACAAGCAAATTATTCAAACGCATCAAACCAATAGGAAATATCAACACACTCATATTTCTCCTACCAAGCCGTGACCTGGAAAGTTAGTTCCTCGGCGGAGTCTGCCAGGCACCATGTGGAGGAGTTGTAGGGGAAATGTCACTCCTCTTTTGCCAAGTTTTGTGGAAATATTGACATCGTATCGGCCAGATCTCTGGCCCTTCTGCATTGAAAAGTGTGAGATTCAGAATTCGGACCGTCGGCCTGGATAAGATATGGGTGTGCCAGTAATGTGTAAAGCATGTTGGTAAGGACTTGTGTAACTCAGCCGGGCTAAAGAAGAATTCATCCACTTGTACATGTACAATGTAGGTCTCTTGCACAATGTGGCTACTGCACTGGTGGTCAGGCTGTGCCAGCTAAGTGGACCATTTCTTTCAGTTGCTGTCACTTTCAAAAGGTATGGCTTTTTAACCGTTAGTGTCACAGCCACTTTGTTGTGATTTGATGCCAGTGATCAGGCACATGCATCATGTAACAGTATCAATCACCTTCACAGTACACACAAAACAAACAAACACACATTCTCAGCAGTTCCCTGTTATGTTACAACCATGTACTTTGAAGTACTTTTGACAACTTTCTATTGTTTATGTTGACACATACATGCACATGTTGTCAAACTGAACTTTTGTTTTCTCCCACTTTGATATTCCTAATGCCAACAGTGGCGATTTCCCGTGGTAATACTGGGACGTTTCACTTCTGGCATTCGCCGTACACCAGGTACACGACATCAAGAGTACACCAAACCCCACACAAGCAGCCACAGTCTCTTCCCATTACGGAACAGGGTGAAACGAATACAGACATCACTGTGTCACTCCTCTTCTACCTACCGGTTATGGGTTCCGCTGGCCACAGAATTAGAAGGGATATTGCCAATAGAACGCAGACGAGCGAGCCGCTCAGTTCCATCCCCTGCTGTATGCGGAGCTGACAGCTATGGAAGACTAGTGCTGCGTTCGAAGATAAATTGCGTACTGCCTTACGACAGAATACTCAAGCCAATAATTATTATGGTTAGGTATCTCTTTCCTGACCGCCTTCTGCTCGTCCTACTACCGGTGTCGACGTGCCTATTCGTAACGGCTGGACACTCGCCCGGACACCTGCAATAACAGTATGCTGGCGAGGAACACATTAGTGCTGTACGGAGGGCTAGGAAACAGAATGCTGAAAACTATGCGGCCTGTCCGACATTGCTCGTCCTCTGGCCGAACATGCACACCAACACAAACAATGCAGTCGGGGACACTGCTGCATGTCCTGACGGTGCAGTCGGGGATACTGCTGCATGTCCTGACGGTACTGCGTTTGGTAAAAGAGCATTGTAGCGCACGAAGACACCAGCCCAGCCTGAGTCGGAGCCCACAGAAATAAAGTGGGCGAACGGACAGCTGAACTGGTCATGATTACTGGCCCTGGCGTGAATAGTCGCGCGACTGCACGGAGCTAGTAGTACTAGTAGTAAGTAGTAGTACAATGAGTCATGTAGTTGCGCCAAACTGATGTTACTTCACTGGACTAAACGAGTTACTTTCGCACAAAAGCGTCGTTAGTTTCACCCAGCACTGCAGCAGGGTTTTGATGCTCTCTTTCACGTGCTAGGAAGGAGCGGCACCGCAAAACTACAGTGCTGGCAACTGAAATCCGACCCACTGAGCGGTGCACCCACATCGCAAAGACCCGAAATAGAGGCCGCTAGAAAGTGAACGCGCCGCCCAGGGGGTCGGATTTCAGTTGCCAGCACTGTACGTCTACGGTCGGTGCACTGACTAGCATGTAGATCCACTGTCGTGGACATGGAAATCCGGTCACACGGCTAGCGGCCCCAGGGCGCTGGCCATGCAGCCGTGGGTAAGCAGTGCACACATGCTGAAGCCCGCTGGTCGCATCGGATCAAGCGCTGTTCTGTACGCGCTGAGGGCGCCGGCCCCGGTCAATCGACTGGATTTCCATGTCCACGACAGTACTACACACATGTATGTGTGCTATGTCGTCGAAGTGTAAATCGACAACAGCCACGCAGGTCAGGACCCCATGGACAGAAATAATTAGCGGACCAGTACAGTAGACAGTAATGAGTAAAGAGAGGGAGAGCTGGAGAGCTACCGGTCCCACAAAGCACAAGTCTCGACAGTTTTGGCGTATATTTAGGTGGTGACACTCGCACCTAGTAGAATCTACCTACAGACCCTGTTGTCAGTGTTGAGCTCATTGCAATCAGCAGAGTACAATGCAGACCAGGGCATGGCAGGGGAGTTGTGAAAACCCACGACTCCATGGTCTGGTGCAGACGGTCTGCTTACAGCTTGGTCTGTGCGGTGCAAAGGTCGCTGCACATACACGTGTGTGGGTAACCCACTATGTACATTTTTATAGCACCAGTAACAGTTCTGTGTATGTCACTGTCGTCTCAGTCTGCTCTAGACAATGCACTACAACAATAATACGTGTACATATCATGTGTGAGACCCGGGCCCTAACCCGTTACCGTGACCAGGTGACCGTGTGCATCATTATGTGCCAAGATTCAGTAGAAGAACCCTACGCCATGGTTCACAGACGCAACGTGCCAGACGCGACATGTAGAATGTAGACTTGACCATAACGTGACGTTACTCAGTACAGCGCCTCGAGTGTGCTTGTAGTTCTTACTAAAAAGAAGCAGCGCCGGGGACTACACAGCGCTGGCATTGCAACCACTGGATGGCGTTCCAGATCGCGGCGCTAGCCACGATCCACATTGTTGCCATCAGGATGGATATCCGGGGAGCGAGTCACTACCCAAAAGAAAGAAAGATTCGCGGTTCGCGTGAGACTCGGCTGGAGACCGAATTTTCCGCATCCGCTGGGACGACACCGCCCTCAAAGATCAAGGCGCAGATGCAGCTCCTAAGACTAAAGCCGTGGGAGGTGAGTAAATCAGACCCACCACCAAAGTGGTCAAAGACCGAAAATCCCATTCGCTGCGTCCACGCTTCCCTCGTGCCAGGCCACGAGTTCGCAATTGGGTCGCAGCACGGCTGGAAAAATCCTTCCGCTTGCAAGCAGGACTTGAACCTGGTAGACCTACCCTCTGTTTCTCAATCATGGTCTTAGACCATCCCACTAATGCACTATGCCTGCCTGCTAGGGGAGTCGTAAAATACCGGTATTTTACGACTTCCTGGTGACTACACACACAGTGTACGTACAAAGCAGGGAGTCGTAAAATACCGGTATTTTACGACTCCCTGGTACAAAGTCATGTCGATCAACCGACCACTCCCGTCTGTTCTGAAGAGCAACTATCATGCAGATGGAAACAGCGTCTTTTCACAGGCGGAAAAGGAAAATTTGATAAAGACACTTTATTCGGAGTGTGCGCTTCCTCCTGTCGATATTTCGGGTAAATCGGAAGGAGAAGACTTCCCAAACTAACTTCCCAACAAGTCATGATGGCGTCGTGCGAAGATGGGCTGCGACATGCTGAAAATCAATCTTCAATCTCTACTAAGGATTTGGGCGAAAGCTCCGAACGACACTAAATTCTGATTTCGAAAGCTATTAGAAAGAGAATCCCCTCTTTGCCTTTCGTAAGTTGAGCCCTCTGCGGATGGTGGACGAACTTCACACGGTAATTAGAAAGAAAGAAAGAGCAGTGGGAGACAATTAACAAAACATCAACTGAGCCTGAAAATGAGAACTCAGAAAGTGCACCAAGTAGGTACAGGAGAAAGACGAGTAGTGCACGTACGTAATCATTCAATCATACAGTTTCAGTTGCAAGGAGTAACGCTTGTTGTCATTCACAGTAATGCCTTAGTACTGCACTCCCTGGCAGCTTGTGTTTAACTGTCGCACTTTGCGACTGTGCAGGTCTGTTCAATATGGAGTGTTACCCATAACTCTTCTGTTTCATGTCATTGGTTATAACACAGACGAACGCTGATCGTAAATGTTTGTGAAATCCCAAGTGAAGGTCTCGGTGCTTTTATGCATCACAGGAATAGGCTTTCATTTTGTCGGTCTTGGCAGGCGGAAGCGAGCGGACCTCACGACTTCCAGAGGGCATAGGACAGGGAGTGATGCACAATGCACACAACACACACCCTACCAGCACACAACACACACCCTACCAGTTCTAAAGGCAAGACAGCCAATAGGGTAATCGATCTGCCCACTTCCACTTCCACTTCCACTTCCACTCGCCCATCGCTGAACTGAAGCGGTGATATGATAGCGAACAATCTACAGTAATACAGAGTATTATTAGATATAGCAACTTGTGCTGGGAATACACCATCCAACGATGATTGTCTGTCCCCCCCCCCCCCCGTACCCGAAGTTGTCCCTTGCGACCAGCCACTCTAGCCTAGCTGGATGATGTATTCAGTGGACTGTATTGTATTCCTTAGTGTCAACCTTTACCTAGCCTGGATTCACTTGCCAGCTAAGTTAGCTGCACACACACTGAGTTTGGAACTCTGATACATGACATTGTAATACTAATAGATGTTCTCTTTGTACTGCATCTGCGCCTTGATCCTATGGCCTAGCTAGACCTAGAGGGTGGTGGCGTTCCTACGGATGCGGACCTGTTATCCCAATGTACTTCAGGACTGAGCAAGAATAGTACTGTAGTACATGTACGTGTATGTCTTATCAGTATTAATAACACAATACAACAAGTACAATGTACATGCAGTGAAACCTGTCTAAGACGACCGCTCAAGGGACCTTCAAAGGGCGGTCTCTGTTACCAGGTGATCTCCTTATACAGGGTCATTTGACTGGAAATAGCATCCATGGGTCCTGGTTGCGGTGGTCTTCTGAGACAGGTGGTCACCTTATACGAGTGGTCGCCTCGACAGGTTTTACACATGTACACGTGTGGAAGAGTTCCTGCCAATCCTGGGACATGTGGTCACTCACCCCAGAGGCACACACGTACACACGTACACACGTACACACGTACACACGTACACACGTACACACGTACACACGTACACACGTACACATGTACACACGAAAGACACAACGAAGGTTTACGGTGTACAGTGAAACCTGTCAAGGCGACCACTTGGATAAGGCGACCACCTGCCCTACAAGGCCACTGGAACCAGAATCATGGGATGCTCTCTCCAGTCAAACGACCCTGGATAAGGAGACCACCTGGTAACAACGTTTCGAAGGTCCCTTGAGCGGTCGTCTTAGACAGGTTCCACTGTACATGACTGTCTGTGGCAACTCAGGGTTTCTTGGACAATAATGCCACTCCAAATCCGTCGAAGAATCCTTCCTGGACAGGGTGTCACACAGCCCAGTTCTGGCTCCTAGATAGCAATCATCAGGCAACTAAGAACCGCTTTGGAGGCTCACGCGCATTATGCATATGCCAGAGTGACTTTGCCATCGTGCAAATGGGTTTAGACATGGGGAAGTATTAGTTCCCATACAGGGGTGGTGAGCCTGCCTTTCTCGCGGTTAGAGCACTCTGCCTGTGATACTTTGATCCGGTTCAGCATGATTAATTTTGTTCTTCGACTTCATTGCTATCGGTTTGGCCAGCAACTCTGAGCACCGCTGAGGAAAATTAACAAACTGGTGGGAAGGCAGCTCACTGAGAGCAAGAGAGGTACATGTATAATGTTATTGACGATTATAATCACCAGTCCTTCAGATCGATAGCAGTAGGTGTTGTTTCGGTGCTAGGAAACACAAAAAGAAGCCGGCTCCAGCTGAGCCAGAGTGATCCACCTGTGCAGATTTCAGTTCCGGCAAGTTTCTCTCTCGACGATCATGTGATTAGTTTTCGAAAACGAGTAGAATCTACTAGTGACCCTGTCTTTCTGCTGCTGCTGCTGCTGTTTCTGCTTTATGTGTGTGTATGTGTGTGTGTGTGTGTGTGTGTGTGTGTGTGTGTGTGTGTGTGTGTGCGCGTGCGTGTTCACTTCAAGGTACCAGTGCATCTAGTGTCTGCTTTTATCAAAGCAGCGTGCTCTATACTGGTTACCCCAGCAAGTGTAGGGTGTGCATAGGTAACTGCCTTGGCCGTTTTATGCCAATGTACTCCGTGTGGTGTAGACCAGGTGTGATTGGTGGTCGATTCACATGGCTTCGTGGGTTGTGTGGATTGGACAGTTATCTGGCCCTAGTCTTGATCTGTCTCATCTTGTCCGCTATCGTTGCTATAACTGCATAAGAGAAAATCTGTGGGTGCACATTAGCCCTTGGCAGATACTGCTCGAAAAGCAGTGAAATTGGCATGATCATACAAACCTTATGGCGGGCACTACATTTCTTTATCCAAATACCAAACCTGCATAAAACGTACCAGAAAAAGTAGGGAATTCTGCCAATTTTTCTGCCGGCATTATTCGCCAAGGCCTAGTGCACATCCAGCATTTGCAGATTTGCGTGCTTTTCTTGCAACGGGCGTATACATGGTACATTGTGTGTGTGTGTGTGTGTGTGTGTGTGTGTGCGCGCGCGCGCGCGTGCCAGTGTGTGTTTGCGTGTGTTTTGTTTCAGTATCATATTGGGTTCAAGACGAATACTCAAGTAGAGAACAAACGCTACTGAGGGTAGATATGATGATGGCAATAGTGCGCAGGGGAGTACGGTGACAAGCAGGGAGTACGGTGACAAGCAGGGAGTAGTAACACACTGGCTGGTAGGCAGCGGCGGATTATGCCGGCATAATTATTGGCATAATTTAGTGCTTGGTTTAACATCAGACATTATGTTGTAAGATATGAAACCACAAGCACCATCGGCACCTCACATACTCCTGGACAACATCTCCATGATAACGTCTCCATGACAACGTTGCCATTACATTTCTATGTTGCAGAAAGTTTGTTAGCTTTTGAAGTAAAGAGTTCCATGAAACGAGGCTTTCAACATTGCACTTCCACAGTGTTGTTTCTCGCCAATTATTATTTGACTGAAAAGTTTTGTCAGCGCTTTCTAAGTTCGGCTTGGTCCCATAGCTCAGACAATTGGAGCGTTGTTCATGACCAGCAAGGTCCCGGGTTCGAGTCCAGGTGGGGTTGGAATTTTGTTTCTCTTTTCAGGCAGTTCACATGACCGACTGATCATTCGAATTCGAAGTTCTTCCAATCCTTTCAAAATATCAATTTATAGTAATATTACTTGTAGAAATGAGACAATGTAAAACCTTGCACGGCTCTGTATGCTCTACCTGCTGTGCCACTCGCACAAAAACACAGTGCATAAATAGTAGAATTGCGAACTCAGATTCAAACGTGTCCAGCACAGAAAATGAGTTTAATAAAATTAATGCCGTTACAAAAAGATTAGAATTGTAAAATTCACAGCTTTAGAAAGGCCAATAAAGGAAGCTCGCACTCCTTCAGCAGAAAAGGAGTGCAAGACGAAATAATTAGGAAGATCCAGAAAGTATTTTGAATTTATGATGCAATGTACGTTCACTCGGTGAGATCCAATTGTCATTGGATAAAATCACTAAGTCTCAGCACACAAGTTGACATATATGTGTTCAGCATTCATGCTTGAAGGACAGGGAAATGGATTCCCACGATGCAGGGCACACACACCACGGCGTGGATTGGCCATTGCTGCCTGCACGGTACACGGCTAGAATATCTATTGCTTTTTCCCCTGTCGTTACAGGTGCCATGAAACAACTTGCCACAAGAAAATCTAGTTAGAGTTTGACGATAGGATCATGGCTGGCATGTGTGCCAAAGTAGGCACCAAATATAATCGAGTGCTGGCCAGGCTAGCTTCCAAAAAAACAAAGTTTACGGAACTGTACAGATAGGGACGCGGTAGTTTTTCTTTACATAATCACATTGCTATGGACAATGACAGCGATGCCAGAAGAGAAGCATGCTGTTACAGCGAACCGCTCAGAGGAGATTGTATTGTGAAGATTTTGATCTCCTTTGTTATGCACACAATCTGACCGGCAGCAGGGATCACACCAGCTAGAATGTGTGTTCTCCGAGCGCTCCGCTCACAGGGTTTCAGTGTAGGTGCTCTTGCCGGGCCCTGGTAGCCTGTCCTTCAAGAAGAGCGCTCCGTCTTTGATGAGGCTGGGAATGGCGGCCCAGATCGTGTAGTTGGGTATGATTTCCTTACCTTCTTGCTTCTTGACCAGTTTCATGAACAGCACTCCGCCGACGAGGTAAAGGACGCCGCCGACCAGTGCCCTGGAAGAGAGAGAGTTAGACGGCAAGGCCAAGAGGACAGAACCAGGTAAGGCGTGTGTGATTTCCAATGGATCATGCGCCACACACAGCTTATGGCTGAGGGGGACACCACGCATTACCTTATGACATTTAAAGAAAACGTGTACTCCCACTGGAGATGTTCAAGATTCAACGTAGTTCAGGACGGTAGTGTCAAGGTTTGTGTGCGGCATCCATTGAGAGAGCACTCCTCCCAAGAACCCTCACTTTGTCGACACAGCGGATTATGTGTGGCCGCTTGATTGCATGACAGAGTGTGCAGGCATCGCAAGGTCAAGCGAGCATTGTGCATTGCTTGGAGACATGAGTAAGGAACTGGAAGTCGAGAGATAAGACTGGATTTACACTGAAGTGTTGCTGAAGCCGAGACCTCTGGTTGGCGGAGATGCTCCAGTTTCACCACCACAGTTGCGACTGCAGCCACCTCTATCATGCAGCACTCTGTTATCGAGGTCCATGGCTTCTCATACAAGTAAAAACAAACAAAAAACTCGCTCCCAAAGACATTGGTGAAAAGGCATGCATTCCACATCACTCTGTGAAGGGTGCACATTCCCCGTTGGAGAGATTGTATTGCATAATGAAGTTATGTGAGTGTCCAGTGTTGGCAAGAACTAGGGGTGTCAACGAGTAGTAGGGTACCCTTGCTACCCGTAATTAGAGCGGGTACTCGAGTAGCAGTTTGCTCCTGAGAACCCGACCGGGTAGTTGGAGCACGGTGTTTTCACAACGGTGCATGTAAAAAGCACGGCTATGTGCTTACTGTGCACTTTCTATGCAGCGCAAGTGCACACTCACAGTACAAACTGTGTCAAAAAAATACCTGATATGGTACCCGTGTACCCATGGAAATACGCGAACTCGTTACCCGGTCAAACCCCTACCAGTTGCAGCCCTAGCAAGAACACAGATCAAGTCGGAGCTGCAGCAGCAGCTAAAACACTCTGGATGTTACCGCCCGTCATGAGTTCCATTAGTTGAATGGAGAGGAACAGGTTCTTTTACTTGCAAGAAGAACCCCCCCCCCCCCAGGAATATGTCTCTCTAGAATGTGCGTGCGGCTAGTCCGGCCGAACGTATGCACAAAACACATACAGTCAACTTCGCTAATAACGACTGCGGATATAACGAAAATTCGCGAATAACGACAGAATGTCCATGCGCAGAGCAAAGTCCCATCTAGCTGTACTACTTAAAATGAGACTTCGGGTATAACGACACTTCGCGAATAAGGACACTTTTTTGATGCCCGGCCGAGTGTCGTTATAAGCTAAGTCGACTGTAATAGAATAATATTATAATAGGCAGAGTTCTAGCCAAAGGAGGGTAAGGGGGGGGGGGGGGGGGCTGCACGCCTGCTCTGCTTGAGTGCTCCCCAGTGAAAATGTGAAAATGTGGGTATGCATCTCATGGGGGTACAGATCACTTTGGTTAGGGAGGCAAAGGTGATGCGGGTCGCGGGTCCCTACTTTATGCTCATTGGAACAAAGCGTTTCCAACTCGGAGAGATAGTTGAGATCTTTGTCGAATCCTGTCCCCGTGGCCCTCCTTGCCCATGACCCGCCCCAGATGTCTCCAGCTCTGTGAGACACCGGAGGTCTCTAGCAACATGATACTAGCTGGTAGAGTTGTAACATTTCTCCTTCCCTTGCCCTGATGTGGGGGCTACCTGGTAGTACATTGTGTATTGCACTCGCCTACGAACCGAGAGGTCGCAGGTTCGAGCCGCTCAGCGGTCACACATCTGAGTGAATGCAAAAACCACATGACGCAGCTGACCAGATCAACGTGTGTGTCCTCTTCAATCAGTAGAGACAGAGTCGAGCGAGCTGTACTCCTAGTGCCGAATGGCAAGCTCACACGCCTGTGTGGTAACTTCCCCCATGTCTCACCACCAAGACGAAGTACACACTCCAGTCACACTGGCCGAAATAAAAAATTTAAAAAAAGTATTTTCACTTACACTATGCACATGATTGTGCCTGGCGAGATGCCTGAACTGGATGTCTGCAAACACACTGCGCTGGAACGAACCTCAAACACCTAGAGTGTGTTGGACACACACACGCACGTGCACACACGCAGGCGTGTACGCATGCACGCACACACACACAAATACAGAGGACACCAATAAATGCACGATTGACAAAGTCTCAATATATCCACAGTACACAACAGCACTAAAATGTCGGGACACAGGCATCGATAAGAATGCAGCCAGGTGGGGAGGGAGAAAAGTGGGAAAGAGGGAACGAGAGAGAGAGAGAGAGAGCTAAGAGGTACAGTGGCAGAGTTTTAAATCAAGCGGCATGCCCGTGCGGTAGTTTTCGTGAGCATGCCTAATTTAGCAATCACCGGGTAGTTGGGTTCACACCGAGTTCAGGGTTCATGTTCAAACCCCGTAGCTGTAGCTGCCAGCAAGAGTGCATAACATCCATCATGGCATAACACCCATCATGGCATGAGTGGCATAACACCCATCATGGCATAACACCCATCATGGCATAACACCCATCATGGCATAACACCCATCATGGCATAACACCCATCATGGCATAACACCCACCATGGCATAACACCCATCATGGCACGAGTGTACAAATATGCGCACAGTCTCTACCCAGTGCTGCAAACGCAACAGAGTTTCACATCACGTGACAGAGCTTCACATCACGTGACATGGTCAGGGGTGTCGGAAGGTAATTTAGTGTGCTACGGTCAGCCATCTGCTGAAGTACAATTTACTTGTCGGGACGGGTGGCTGAGCCGAAAATTTGGAAAATTAGAGCCCAAATCAGTGCATTTGATTGATTCACAGGGTACTTGGGTCAAATAGTGGTACGGTCAATACCGAAGTGACCGTACTGTGTGCGACGCCCCCTGCATGGTTCAATGTGTTACACTGGCAAACAGTGCAACGTGACCACAAGAGAGTAGTTTCCAAGGCACCGTTGCGCACAACCCTGTAGATACTATGCACAGGGTGAAAATAGCGTGTGTGGACTTCGACATAAGGTGGACTTAAGTTGCGGCAACTCTCTCTGAGTACTCCATGCACCGGCAATCCATTCACCAAACTCGGAGCCATATGTTTATCACAGTCTCACTTCATTCCTCTTCAACACCGTGAAGTCGATGACTTATATATTACGTCAGAAATATGACAGCCGTTGTGTTTAGCCTAAGGCCACGCCGTTTTTTTCTATGTTTCGCGTCACCTTATTCGATGAAATCAATGAGGGAGGGCGAAAAAAATAAAAAAGCCATCCAAAAAAAAACAGTCTACGTGCATTGCATTTGTGTACAGTGAAGCGACGGTGCACTGTTCATGTACATTGACATGTACCTGAAAACATGAGTGTATCCCCTCTGCCATGCTTGTGGTCCAAACACAGGCGGCATGATGATTGTGTGACTTGCGGCCCAGCTTATTACACACACACGTAGTACCAAGAGTACATAAACGGTTTATGTACTCGTGGTACTACATGTACAATGTGTGTGAGCTGAGTTACATTTTCCGGTTTTCCGGGTCTGCATTAAATTTGTATTGCATTTTCAAAAAAAAACATTTTCGTTCCGTTTTTTTTTTTGAACTCCGGCTGTGAAATACATGCGCGCGGGTGACGCGAAACATAGATAAAAAACGGTGTGGCCTAAGATGAAGTGAATGCGCTGAAAATTGATCAAGATGTGTGAAAAAAGTATTTTTCAGACACATAGTGGTAATGTATTTGGCGAATGGACTGTAGGTGCAGAGCCTTATGCAACACAGCAACAACAAGTTGGTTCTCTCCTGTGTACGTTCCTGACTTACAAATGTATACCTGACGTCCAGTTCTCCGACCGCTTGGAACGAGGGAATCTTCAAGTCCGGTACGCATCTCAGATACACAAACACCTCCCTGCACAGGACAGATGTAACAAGGGAGCACGCAAGTAAAGGAGCATCCCCCCCCCCCCCCCCACACACACACACACACACACACACACACACACACACACACACAAACACACACATACACACAAACAATACAACTTTAGTACACTGTACCTCCAAGGGACATACAAATCTGTATGTGGTGATCAGCTGACAGCATGTTACAAGTCAGAGAACACAATGTGTTGAAAACAGTGCTCCTGACTACAACCATCATCGGTTGGTCACAGCAGAGCCCCGGTCTGGACGACCATGTGAACCGTGTGGGGTTCAATAAGAAATATCTTGAAAGGACTCCCTAGAATAACGAGGGGCCGAACCGGGGCCAGCCCCCATACGGTTCAAATGGTCATTAATACCGGGGCTCTGCCAATCAACGTTCTCTGCCTTGTAACATGTTGCCAATCGATCACCATGTTATTTTATCAAACAAGGCTTGCATATACCAAACCTGCACTAACATCCTCGGGACTATATACCCATGCAAGGTCAAGTGACTAGACAAGGATATGCAAGGTCATCAAAAAGGTACTTTCTATCCAATGCAACGAGAAAGGTTTGTAATACCGAGGGTACTTTGTCATGAAGTTTTGCTGTTGCTGAAGCAGGTGGCATTCATACTGGGACTTGCTGTTTGCATCATAATAATTATTGTTTGTGTCCAGTTGCGGTGAAAGACCTTAGGAGTCCTACAAGTGCCGCACCAGATCACCAATCGTATTCACTTTGAGTCATCTATGTGCTTATAATGACTGAAATGGACTGCGAATTGCCTGAGTTATTGTGCATGCGCCAATTTGGCATCATTAGTATCCACTCTGGCTCCCTTGCTACGTGTAGCTGATCATCGACCAAAATGCATCCAAGTGTTCCCTGTTGCATCATCCTAGCATTTGCTCCCAGGGCACTGGAGAACACCTCGAGGCCACTCAGTCAATCGGCAAGTTCATCCAAAGAAGAGCTCATTCATTGCCGGGGTGCGGGGGTTTGTAAGAAATCTGAAGGAAATCTTGTGCACATGAATTCTCGGTGCGCATTTTCATCTCACACTCGATTTCTTGCAGAGTGCTGAAGGTCTCGGTTTGTTTTCGTTGTTTAAAATATTAATTTCATTCCAATTCACAAGACCAAACGAGAAAGAATCCTGGATATGGGGGGCATCGGACACGGTACGGTCACTACGGTATTGACCGCACCACTTTTTGCCCCAGATACCACGTGAATCAATAAAATACACTGATCTGGGCTCTAAAATTCCAAAATTTTTGGCTCAGCCATCCCTTTCCCACACGAGTAACTTGTACTTCAGATGGCTGACCGTACCACACTAAATTACCTTGCGACGCCCCTGGAAGGGGCTAAACAAAAACGAGTAAGGTTGCGGCTTGGTATCAATATAGTAGTGGGGTGCACGGGTACTATTCTGTACCCGTGCTACCTGTGAGGACCTCAGGTAGACGGACCTGTGAGGACCTCAGGTAGACGGGTACAGAATAGTACCCGAAAACTCGAAATCGCAGACGACATCATGTACAGTGCACGTGTACAAAATCGTGTGTAATACTCTGCATGTCTACCCAGTGTGTAAGGGAAGAGGTGTATTGTGGTGTTACCATGGAAACATTATCCGATCGGGTACCCGTGTGCTACCCGTGAAAAACTACCAGAACCCGAAGAGAATGCTACCCGACTCAGCCCTATAGCAGGCGCGTACGCAGGGGGGTTTCCCGTTGCCCGGAAACCCCCAAATGTTCCAAACGAGCAACGTTTTTGGGCATATTTTGGTAGGGATCGTAACTCAGTCAAATCTGGCTCAAATCCAACTATCCAAATATCCAGGTCGAATAGAAAACTCTCAGCGGTCGGTTGGAACAATTTGCGGCGCGCTGCGAGCAATATCTCTTGAGATAAATCGTTCGTAACTTGAGCCGTGATCTCGCAATTTCAAAAGCGCGCACTGCGACTCGAGTATCGAGAATTTGAGACTTTCGTCACGCTGATTTGCTCAAATTTGCAGGGGCTTCACTTGTGATATTTTCAAGAGCACGCAGCAAACAAATCGAAACTCTGCGATCAAGAGAAACGAAATCGCAGGACGCGTTTGGGCCTTTGGCCCAGTTTGGGGTATTTTTTCGCACCGTCGCTGCACTCTACCGCTATAGCATATAGCGCTGGATACGCTGGATATGTACATGGCTGTACCATGTGTACTGTGTCCTGGCTATCATGTTCGACCTCATTCTCTCCCTGGTACCTTTCCACTTCCAGGAAGCCTAAGATAATGAAGATTGCGTGAGTAGAACTGAAGTTATGATCCAAAGAACACGAAAAAATGCATAATTTTGAAAATTTCCTAGGGCTCTTTAGAAAGGGTTAAACGAGTCATTGTTTGTGATTCGGTTGGAAACCCCCTAGATGTGACCCTGCGTACGCGCCTGTATAGTATAGGGAAGCGGGGATGAGGGGGTCTCTAAGGGTAAACAGACAGACAGGGTGCCCTAACTACCACTGACGATTTCCTGATGAAGTCACGGGTCCCTTTATGATACGGCACCATGCGTGCTACAGAAATTCTGCTGGATTAGGGACATTCTGCTGGATTAGGGACATTCTGCTGGATTAGGGACATTCTGCTGGATTAGGGACAGTGCTGGACTAACGGATCTGATTTACTGCTGCAATGTGCATGAAGAGGACATTTTGGCCATTGAAACTTATGCTGGTTTATAGAGGGCGGTGGTTTACAGTGCTTGAGTACCGAGGGTCGATTGTAATTTGTTTACCTGCCTTCAGTCGCATACTGATCACTCTGCCCCTCGTAGTATGCGTACAGTCCGTTGTTGTCTTCGCCAAACTTCATCGTGTCCGCATAGCCCAGGTCCGAGTAGAACTCATACCAGTTCTGGCAAGCCTGATCGCGCAAACAGCATGGCGTGAACACACGAATACACACCATACACAGCATACACACAAATATCCACACAAAAGATGCACACACACACACACACACACACACATACACACACATATCCACACAAAAGATGCACAGACACACACAGACACACACAGACACACACAGACACACACAGACACAGACACACACACACAGACACATACAGACAGACAGACAGACAGACACGCACGCACGCACACACACACACACACACACACACACACACACACACACACACACACACACACACACACACAGACACACACACACCGCGCAGTGAAAAGGGGTCTATTACGCAGACTGAGATAGTGAATGGCTCAAGGCTCGACACAGACCTTTAGGGCCTGGTCACACATGCACTGGGATTCGCTTCGGCGACGAGGTTCGGCGGCAGCGAGCCTGGTGTCGCTCCAGCGAAACCACGTGTGCATGGTCACACATACAAATAGGGCACAACTCCTACTTTGGCGGAAAATGAGAGTAAAGTGGACTGTGGTGTATACAGTACGGAGAATGGACGAGGTCAATGACTATCTTGCACGCATTTTTGTTGCATGGACATCATACGCATACAAATTTCTCGTAGCAAGTCCATATACAGCAGACCGTGGTGTTTTCCGCTGAAGCGAATCCACAGCGACAATCTCGCTTCGAAAATTTTGGCGGAAGCGGATTGGAGTTTCCGCTGAAGCGGAAGTTCCGCTTTTCGCCGTTGCCATGCCATTTTTCGCTCCTGCGACCTCGCTTCAGCGTATACGCTACTTTCGAGTGCATGTGTGACCGGGCGCTTAGCACAATAATCATGGAGGTGCAGACGCATGCAGGCATGGTGACACAGGCATTGTGAGTTGCAGCAGCAGCAGCAGCAGCAGCAGCAGCAGCAGCAGCAGCAGCAGCAGCAGCAGCAGCAGCAGCAGCAACAGCAGCAGCAGCAGCAACAGCAGCAGCAACAGCAGCAGCAACAGCAGCAGCAGTAGCAGCAACAGCAGCAGCAACAGCAGCAGCAGCAGCAGGAAATACACACTGGATACTGTAAATATACAAAATTTTCGGCAGCTATTTAATTTCGGCTATATTCGACACCGACCCAAAACGCCTAAATTAAAACGCCCATGAAATTTTTCACAGCATCTGTCGCACTATACCATGCCCTCTACCCCACGCCGAAAATAAATCGCCGTCGAAATGTCAAAAATCGTGAAGTGCCGAAATTTTGTATATTTGCAGTATCATCGCGGCTGGACTGAGCCTTACTGTCACGCCCTTGCACTCATCTGTAGGGTCACCAGCAGGGGGATTCCCCACCGTGAATGGATCACATGGATTCCAGTAATAGTAGAACAGATCATTGACGCTGAGAATGTGATGAAACCTTCACAAGCAAAACATGAGGGGACACAGAACACGAAATATACTGCTCTTAACATAACAGTTATTACTGGATTTCAGGCCCGGCGGAAGCAGATTATGATCGGTCCGTCCATGCACAAAGTGATCATGGTACAGTAAAACCTGGTTTTAGCGACCTCTGGTTTTAGTGACTTTGGTTTTAACGACCTCTGGTTTTAGCGACCTCTGATTTTAGTGACTCTGGTTTTAGCGACCTCTGGTTTTAGCGACCTCTGATTTTAGCGACCTCTGGTTTTAGCGACCTCTGATTTTAGTGACTTTGGTTTTAGCGACCTCTGATTTTAGTGACTTTGGTTTTAGCGACCTCTGGTTTTAGCGACCTCTGGTTTTAGCGACCTTTGGTTTTAGCGACCTTTGGTTTTAGCGACCTCTGGTTTTAGCGACCACCTGCTTTTGACGACCGTTTTCCAAGCACGGACAGTTCTACCCAGAATCTGCAACGGATACAACGACCACCTGCCTTGCGCGACCAGCGACCGACTTTTAGTGTACCAAGTGCCATATTGGACCTGCACACAGCGACCAAAACTAACCAAAAGTGCCATCTTAGCCGGCAGGGCTTAAGCTAGTGCATGCAGTCAACAGAAGTGACAAGTGACAGCGCAGGATGCGCTGCATGCACTTGAGTGAGGTGCACTTTGCTTGCATGAAAATATTCTATGCTCTACACCTGTCAATATGAGTACATAGAAGTACAATTATGCACATGTACGTACAAGATCCAGTATGCCACGAATGTATGGGACCTAGTTCTAAAGACCACCTGGCTTTAGTGGAACAACGATCACCCCCCCCCCCCCCCAATTATGAGTGTGAGGTACATGTAGTATCGAAGCGGTTTATTGATAGAGTCAAATGATTTTTTTAGTTCCGGAACATAGCATCTTTCTCCTCAGTATAAGCTCTCCGCACAGGATACCGCGATTCCGCGGACGCGCATTTTTCCGCGTTTTGGCTTTCATCCGCATTTTCGAGAGATTTTGAATAAAACCTGTGGTATTCATTGGAATGTACTAGAAAGAGTACATCTGAGATGTTGAAAATGTACTACGAAGTCGTACCTGTCCATGAGTTTGTACCGCTGGCAGGGAAACTTCAGGGAAACGAGCCGTGATTATTAGCAATGACTTTCCAAACACTCCCTGACTAACACTCTCCCCCTCTGGTCTCAACAACTGTCGAAACTACATTCTGTAGTAGTGAGTCGTTCCCTGTTCTGTAGCCTGCACTGGATGTGTGGTCTGCGTGCACACTGCAATGACTGTACACTAGGGTTGCAAGGAATATTCGAATATTCGATTGATATTCGTTTGGAACCCGATGGAAGGAATATTTTCCCCTTTAGAATATTCGTTCGTTTTGACACGTGCGCACACTCTGCTCTTGTGTAGATCTATCGTAGTAATTCTTGAACGGATGGAGTGATATGTACATGTGTTATGTGTGGAGAAAGGGGACTATGACTCACAAGAATAGTGGACATGACTCCACTAGACATCTACTTGGTCTAGAACAACTGGGGACCAGCCAAACTCTTTCTAAGATTCTTTCGGTATAGAGTATTCGATTCGTTTAAAAAAACCGACTTCGTTCCTATTTTGAATATTTGTTTCACCCTTAGAAATAAGTGTAGAAAGGAAAAGGAAATATAGATATGAGTTGAGAGTAACTCTCCATCACTGTAACCAGATACTATATACAGTCAGAAAGTGCAACAACTAGGCACAAAACTGACAGAGTACTGAGACATTCGACGTCCTGACACCTAGCTTCAACACATCTCCGTAGCGCTAACCGACAGCCTTCCAACTTGGAAGGTTCAAGGTGATGGAAAGACCAAAGAGGGGAAGGCAAGCGCAACGAAAATGAGCACAAGCTACAGTCCCAACGGAACAAATAATGTCGACTGTTACTTTTCCTTTCTACACTTATTATTGGCTCAACATCCGAGTTTCCTTAGAAATAATTCAGTATTTTGAGAGAATATTCGTTATTCGTTCGTTACGGGTGAGTACTCGTTCGTATGTGAAATAGAATATTCGTTGCAGCCCTACTGTACACACGGTTCAAATGGTCGTCAAGACCGGGGCTCTGCCAACCGATGATTGTTGTAATCAGGAGCACTGTTTTCAACACAATGCGTTCTCTGCCTTGTAACTTGCTGTAAACCCAAATAACCATGCACTGTACAATGTCCAATGTACATGTATGATGCCACTAGCACTGAGATCATCAGATGTATCACTCTGGCCACCAAATACTAGTAGTATGTTTAGGATGCCCTGGGCACACTTACGCAGGCTCAGCTTTCATAAATTTCAGTCGACCAACTGTTTTCCATTTGGGAAGTGGCGTTTTCAAGAGAAAAAAGTATCGCCGGCCAAAACGTTGTTCTTGCCATGGCCAGACCGGCTCTTCTGGGCCTGGATTGACACTGGATATTACTTAGGAATCATGCATATACATTTTAGTATACTCTTCACTAGTTTGAGGGAAAGAGTATACACACCTATGTCACGTCCCAGGATAAGACAACTGCTGCCTGATAGTCCTGTGACAGCAGGATCTACGTAGTGAGCAGCTCTGTGCTGAGCTGTCACGCCCTTTTAGTACAACGTGGCTTGGCCAGTGTCTTGTCCCACGTGCTTAGCATGTAGGTTGAGCGACACGCGCTTTCCCACGTAGGTGACATGCCTTCTTGGCATGACACATCATGTGATCCAAGGCCGGAACCTGGTCAGGTAGGTTCTCGCGTTGTACGCTTCCTGGAAGTGCTTCACTTCCTGGAAATGTGACTCCAGGCTTTGTGCAAAACCACGTCACTACGACGTTCTACAGGTTTCCACGATGCCTCGGCGCTTCGTGCAAAGAGCCAAGACCAATATGACATTGTATAACAAGAGCTAAGTGCAAGACAGGAGACGTGTGCAAGAACCAAAACCGTCACCGCGCAAGAGGTCAGAGTATCACGCAAGCAAGACCAAGAATGCAGCAGAACTTACCATAAGAAGCCGCTTAACTATGGCACGTTGGGTGAGCGGGCTCCCCAACGTGACCCTCATTATACTCACATTGTACTCTGACATGGCTGAGCGGGCTCCCCACGTCCCAATTTGGTCTTTCTTCTCTCGATGTCTTTCTTTCTCTTTCTTCTCGAATGATCACCGTACGTATATTCTGCATTTCTTGACTGGCTGCGCACATTCCAGTTTGACTTGTTCTGCTATTTCCTGGAATTACCTCGCAATGATCACGCCATATATCTCTGAAGCACCCTATAAAAGAAGCTCTCATTCTCTCTCTTACTTCAGTTTTAGTCTAGTCTAGCCTAGTCTAGTCTAGTCTAGCAGTCGAGACTCGGTCTCAGCTCTCTGTCTTCGTTTACTTTGAGCTCGGATTTGATACTACTCACAACGTAAAACTAACAGTCTTTGTCTGTTGATCGTGTGGGGTTGAACTTGGACCAAGCCAGCTATATTGGTTGGCCCCTGGGTTGTGTTGGGCTTGTCGTGAGGCCACACGTCTATATTCAGTCGCCGCTCGTAGTGATTTCGGGGTCCGGTCACTGTGAGCCAGGGATGCGACACCTACACACTACAAATCCGTTGATCCCCGAACTGCAGAAAGTGCTCAATGTCAGAGACAGAGCTTAATACATAGCAGACTCAGCGGAGGACGTTCAGGTTGGTCGTAACTCTGAGTTTCATGCAGCTAGGCAATCATCAGACAACTGATACTGGGATCTACCCAGCAGTATGCTCATAAACACATAGGGCCACACGCATAAACAAAATGTAGCGCTCCACACTACAGCGCTCCACACTACAGCACTCCACACTACTATAAGTATTGCTTATGCACATGTATACAGGGCATTGCATAGCCCCGTCTTCCCCGCCCCCCTGGTGGAGTGATTATTGTTCATTTCTCTGCTCCCCCCCCCCCCCTCCCCCGAAGTGAATGCAGCTTGCTATGCTTCCAAGACACCTTGCAGTGCTCCAAAGCATGACACCATGAGGCTGTGTGAAGGCTTCCATGACTTATACTTCAAAGCATGCAGTGGCGGGTTTAGGGGGGGGGGGGGGGCGCCCCCTCCCCCCCCTCCCCCCCCCCTCCTCAAAAGTTTCGACCTTGGTTTCGAAAAATAAAAGGCAGGGCGCCGGGGCTAGCTAGGCTAGGCTCGGGGCGCACGCGGACTGAAACGATCGACCAAAAGCGGTTGCACGAGCGGTACGGTGCTCGAGCTGGTGTTGATTGTACACACTACAGTCCAGACTAGTACAGTCTACAGAGTACAGTGAGCATGCACGGCTACAGAAACACGGTGACCTGACTGTGTGCACTGTACTGTTGTACAGTGTGATCCCTGCTGGGACACGCTCGACGCGTCTTCAACGTACAAACATCGAAGAAAGGTCTTCGAGTCAACCAAAACACGATTCGAATGCCGAGGGCTCAGGCGATCATCCTCGTTCGAATCGTGTTTTGGTTGACTCGAAGACTTTTCTTCGATGTCTCAACGACATCCCAAAAGGCCAAGCTCTAGCCAGCAGAGCCTGGATTTTTGGTAAAGCGTTCCTGTGGCGGCGCAACTCCTGCTGCCGCTCCAACAGGAAACAGTGGGAGTGATGAAGTCGTTGTTATTCCAGTGAACTTTCGGAGCGGACTGACAGTCACACTCCGCCAGACGTGGAAGCACCTGTTGTCAGCGAGCAGCCAGAACGTGAAGAACAGCGCACAGTGACAAGTGGACATAGTACCGCGGCCTATGTAAAGGATGCTTTGAGCGGTGAGAAATGGTTGGACTCGCTTAAATTGCAGTTGATTCGCTCACATAACGGCAAATTTGAAGTTTACGATGTAGATCTACAATGTTGCTGCGCGTGTACAGAAATACTGCTCTCGTGGTGGGTGAGATTTACGGCTTCTTGACATCGGTTTTCAAAATGGCTGACCTGGGACAGTAGCATGATGTCTACCCCCACCCAGGAAGTCGTAGAATTAAAGCTGTGTGGACCCTGGCTAGCGCCAGACGTTACTGAAGTAACGTCTTCTGCATAGCTACGGGAATAAAGTATTTTTTATTTGCGACTCCCTGCCCCCACCCATCCCGGCCGCAACCCCCCCCCCCCCCCCTCAGCCAAATCCTGGACACACCAGTGGCATGCCTTTGGAAGCAACAAGCCCCCCCCCCTCCCCCAAGAAAAAACGCCCCATCCAACCCGGTCTCAATGGAAATAGATTATGTTGGCAGGCATTTCTTCAGACACTCCTAAAGTCCTGATGGTGAATACCTCTCCGTTTTCAGTTGTGCCATGTGCACAATGCTCAGTCAAGCCAGCGACGAAGAATTTAGGATTGTATGGCATGTAATAGTGATTAATTTTAGTGTTTACAAAATTGGGCAGGAGCTAGACCAACCAAATCACCCCAAGCCAAGGCACCGTGCAAACGCTTACGTGCATTCAGTAGTCACGACTTACCTTGCTTCGCCGTTCGTGTTTGATAGCGGCGACAGGTCGATATATGACCCATTGGAGAACGTGCACTTGCATTTGTCCACGGCGCAAATGCTGGTAGCGGGTGGTGGCGATGGCTGAACGGTAACATCTCGACTCACTCGATGGTGAGCCGCCGCTGCCGGCACCGGATAGTGAAGCGCTCCTGCCGGCGACCAGGCGAGCGACGCTAAGCACAATGGCAGCGAGAGTACTACTAGCGTCCACATCATGTATTGTTGGTCGTGTGCTGCTGAGGTCAGATCTGATCTGATTAGCGGGTTGGGAGACTCGGTGAGCAACGGTAACTTGGCGGGCCTACTTCAGGAGTGGTCACACTACGATTTGGTCAAACTAAGAACCGTCTCCACCACTCCTCTCCCTTACGACTGTCGGACACTCACACTAGCACGGAGCGGTGCCGCCTCCTCTTCTTCTTCCCCTGCGAGGAGCAGTAATTCTGATATTCCTAGGTCTCCCCCCTTGTAATTGTGGACTAAAACAAAACGAAGACAAGACGATACCTTGCATCCATGCAACCAGACTGATGTTTTTTTTACGAACAAGGAAAAAGGCAAGCGAAATGAGGTGCAAAAGTCCGCGGGTAGCATGCTTGAACTATTACTTGAAGTAACATAATCATTAGTTGAAATATCTGTCACATATCCCCATGACGTCGTCAGTAGCTAGGGTTATCATGGTTATGTTGTTGCTCGATGTCTACCTGGTCTACGCCTGTAGTGTAGTGTAGAGCTCTGCAAGCTGAGGCCAGTGAAGGTCACGTGCAAGGCTGCAAGCGCATGATGATTGAATGATGCCATTATTGATGGTCCAAGAACGGCAGCATCATCGCGGTTTCAGAAGGTAAAGGACGGTGAGCATGAGCTGAGAGGGCCTAGCCCTAGGGAAAGGAGAATAGGAGAGTCTCGGAAAAAACTTGGCAGGTCTACGTGTAAATCTACGAGTCGTAAACTGAAGAAAAAGAGTACCGGTCCTGTTCACGCCACAAAGTCATAAAAATAATACATTTTTACGATTCTCTTGAGGTGAGTTGAGCCTTGTTCGCACACAAGTTCTCGTTACCACTTGCTGTACATTGTAACACAGTCTTCACAGTATAGAAACACAACCAGCCATATGACATTTTAAAATATTGATTTGTGCAAGGTCAACTCAGACTTGAGAGCGAATGATATCCAACGGTGCTGAACAGAAGAAGACGTTAGTGGTCTTTGCTGGTTATCAATATGACTGGGTGCAGCGAGACCGCCGAAAGTAATGGATCAAGAGGTCTCGGAATCATAGCCTACGACCAGGCACCGCTAAGAATGCAGCTAGGGAGGGAGGGAGATAAAGTGGGAAAGAGAGAGAGAGAGAGAGAGAGAGAGAGAGAGAGAGAGAGAGATGTGGTGTCAGATAGAGTTTATTCACAACTAGCAAGGAGGACAACAAACGAAGAACAACATTCCAAGCAGTGTGCGAACACAAAAGGGAAGTGTGTACGAACACCAAGGAAAGTGTGTACGAGCGCATATGGAAGCAGGAGCTCTAGGCGGGTGCATACGGGGTGCGGGAGTTGCACCATATACGGAAGTATGCCATATACATCATGCCCCTCCTAAGATAAAAACGTAAAAGTGTTTATCTAATCAACAAAAAATAATGTGAAAATTGCATGTGCGTAGCAAATGACATGTCGCGGAGCAGCAGCAACTTCCAACAGACTTGTAAAAGGGATAATTGCAAAAATTATATACATGAAGGTTTTCAACTGCGAAACAATGGGAATGACAATTGAATAGGTACAATGGACATCAACAACTGAACAGAGCGAATGTTAATTGTACGATTGTCCACGCGTTGAAATAATGTTAAAGGGGACATTCTGTCGCCGGGGACGTTGGCTTGTTCGAGGTGGTACCTGAACAGTTGACTGTGGCGACGACTGAGTCACAGGGACTGCTTGTGGTGCAGCGTCGAGTACGGGAGACGATGCAGGCATGGCTGTTGAAGCTGGAGTAGGAGGACGGTACGGGCGGAGGTAGCGACGGTTGCGCCAATATACGCGTCCACTCGGTAGCTTGACGTAGTAGTCGCGGTGGTCACCGATAGCCACGACAACGCCGCGGGAAGACCACCGTTTTGTCTTCGGGTGCTGAATGTCAACGTGCGTCCCGATAGACAAGTGGGGAAGCTCTCGGTGAGGCTGACTGGGAGGCTGGTCTACTCGATCAACATCATCCATGTCAGATGCGGTGTCTTGCCAGTGGGAGTCGAACTGGCTCCATTGGGCGAGAACGAAGGAGACGAGTGGGCGACCATACAGTAACTGGGCAGGACTCTTTCCCGAAGTGCCAGGAGTATTGCGCCACTCGAGAAGGCCACGCTGGAAAGCATCGGTGTCTAGATTACCGTCATTGGTAGTCTTTTCCACCAGGTACTTCATTGCCTTTACGGCTGCTTCCGCATGTCCGTTCGACTGTGGGTAGTGAGGGGACGACTTGATATGACGGATTCCCCAGCGCTCGCAAAATTCAGCAAATCTGTGAGACGCAAACTGAGGACCGCCGTCCGTTGAAATGACCTGTGGTACGCCTACATCTGGGAACCACCTGCGGAAATGACGGATGACGTCAGCTGACGTGGCTGAGTGACCAAGCTTGGCTATGCATGGCCATCCGGTTAAGCGGTCGACGAATACCAAATACTCGCAACCTTGGCAACTGAAAAGGTCAGCACTAACACTTTCGAATGGCAAAGTGGGCTTGCGGTCAGAAATGGGCGGTTCGGCAGACTGAGACGGCTGAAATTCACGGCATGCATCACAGCTGCGGACTAGCGTGTCTAACTCACTGTTCATTCCGGGCCAATACACTGTCTGACGAGCACGTCGTTTGGTACGGGTCAGACCTTGGTGGGCTGCGTGAAGGTCGATCAGCGTTGACGCACGCAGAGAGGCTGGGACGACTATGCGTAGACCTTTCAGGACTATGCCATTGTCGGTGGACAAATGTTCACGCACGTTCCAATACGCACGAAGAGGCTCGGGCAGCTGCTGTTGTGCTGAGGGAAATCCGTTCTGGATATACCCGAGTAGCGTCTGGTAGTCAGGGTCAGATGCTGCTGCGGCACGGAGCTTAGCGAACTGGAGACTCTGGGGACCACCTTGGAGTAGACAGATACGGATACTGCGGCAGGACAGTGCTGGATCTTCTCCAAGTTCATCATCACTAGTCGGGATTGATACAGGATGTCGTGAGAGGGCGTCTGCGAATACGTGCTCTGAACCCTTACGCCACGATGCTTTCACTTGATACGGACGAAGTTTCATGATCAATCGGAGTAGACGAGAGTTCTCAATCTGGTCAAGGGTGTAGCTGTTGATAATCGGAACAAGCGGACGATGGTCGGTGATTAGTGAGAACTGTGCACCAGATAGATACAAGCGGCACTTGTGCACTGCCCAGACGACTGCGAGGCACTCGAGCTCGATTACAGCGTACCTTGTTTCAGCGTCAGATAAGAAACGACTTCCACACTGGATGAGGTGCCATTGCTGGTCATCATGCTGTTGCCATAGGGCAAATCCGAGGCCATTCTTCACAGATGCATCAGTCTCGAGACGGAGAGGCTTGCCAGGCTGGAAGAAAGCTAACACTGGTGACTCAGTCAGGATGGCTTTGACGGCTTCGAATGCTATGGTGTGCTGCTGATCCCAGGCGAACTCATTGCTGGTTTTCAGGAGTGGGCGAAGCGGCTCACTTAGTTCAGCAATGCGCGGTGTGAAGTCGCTGCATTGGTTGACCAAACCGAAGAACGAGCGGAGGTCAGTGCGGTTGCAGGGCACTTCGAACTGGCGAATGGCAGATGTCTTGCTACCATCAACGGCATAACCATCAGCATTGATGACGAATCCGCAGAACTGTACTTCACTAGCGCCGAATACAAACTTGTGTGGGCTGAGCGTAATGTGATGCTCACGGGCACGGTGAAGGACGTCACGAACGTGGGTGACGTGGTCTGGAAAATCGACGTCATGTACTAGGCCGTCATCAACGACTTTGACGAAGTTAGCGAGGCGGTCAAATGCTGCGTCTGTGCGGCAGTTGAATTCGTCACCTGCTGAGGACAGACCTTGAGGGTTGCGGCAATAGCGATACCGACCCCAGGGCGTGATGAATGTCGTGAGCGGCTTCGAGTCGTCGGACAGGGGTATTTGCCAGTACCCATGACGTGCGTCGAGTGTGGTGAAGAAACGGGCTTTACCAATAGCTGTCACGGCGTCACGCGGAGTACGAGCTGGGTGTGTTGGTCGGCAGACTTGGTCGTTGAGTTTACGCAAATCAACGGTGAGGCGCTTCTCGTTAGAAGACTTCTTATCTGCGATGACGATCGGGTGGCACCAGTCTGACGGTTCAGTGACTGGCTCAATAATTCCATTGATCACCATATCGTCCAGTTGAGATTTTATCTGGTCTCGGAATGCGAATGGGATTGCGCGGGCACCATTAACACGAGTTGGTGTGGCGTCAGATTGAAGCTTTATCTCCATGGGAGGACCAGCCATGGGCTTCAATTGGGAGTCGTCGAATACATCAGCAAACTCTTGCATCAGCTGAGCCTTAACATCAGCAATGTCTGCACTACTGGGTTCGGACTTCACACGGGAGATCCGCGGCCAGGACTCAGGGAGAATGCCAAGAGCACGGAGAGATTGGCATGACAGCAACGCCTCATCGAGGTCTTCATACACATGAAGTACCGTGGTGTGCTGGGCTGAGCCAATGGAGAGCGTGGCAGAAATCTTTCCCAGGCTAACCAGAGAGGTGCCGTTTGCTGCTGAAACAGTGTCGGAATCGACGGCAAGGTTCTCAGGGAAGCCACCTAGCTGGGAAAGATGTGCTGCGGGATCGCTGCTCGCCATGCTGATCACAAATGCTCGTTGTGACAGCTCACACGACTACGTCCTACGAAATAAATTGAACAACACTCCTATCTAAAACGAACTAACAAACTAACTGCAGGGTAATCTAATCCAAATCCAACGGAGTGCTACACTGCTACTGGGCCAGGTAAGACACTACAAACTAGGTTGGTGTGGACAGAATGGAAACTACAGGACGAAATGTTCACTGCGCCATGTGGTGTCAGATAGAGTTTATTCACAACTAGCAAGGAGGACAACAAACGAAGAACAACATTCCAAGCAGTGTGCGAACACAAAAGGGAAGTGTGTACGAACACCAAGGAAAGTGTGTACGAGCGCATATGGAAGCAGGAGCTCTAGGCGGGTGCATACGGGGTGCGGGAGTTGCACCATATACGGAAGTATGCCATATACATCAAGAGAGAGAGAGAGAGAGAGAGAGAGAGAGAGAGAGAGAGAGAGAGAGAGAGAGACCCACACACCCACACCATCCACCACCATCATGTACCATTATACATGATCGGACACCCGTTGCAAGAGAAGCAAACAACGCTGCAAGTACACGGGGTGCACATCCGTGGATTTTAGCTTATAGCAACGATAGCAGATAAGATCTGAATGCAACAAATCAAGAGTACATAGCACTGGGCTATGTACTCTTGAACAAATCAAGACTTGTTCCAGATGACTAGGCATATGCGGATAATGCCGGCAGAAAAATTGGAGGAAATCGGTACTTTTTCTGGTAAGTTTCATGCATGTTTGGTATGTGGATAAAGAAATGGAGCAGAATTCGAGGAATTGCCCGCCATATTAAAGGTTTGTATGGTTCTGCCAATTTCACTGCTTTTCGAGCAGAATCTGCCACCTTTTCGAGCACACCCGTACAGATGACTGGTAATCATCCAATCCTACTGGTGAATCCAATGTTCATCGATCCTCAAGAGTCACGGTACTCACCTGGTCTACAGCATGCACCCAATGTACCCGTACACCCAAAAAAGATACCGATAGTACAGATACCTGTACCTGTGTACAACAACACCCACTCTTTGTCTCACCCACTCTTTGTCTCACCCACTCTTTGTCTCACTCACTCTCTGTCTCACCCACTCTTTGTCTCACTCACTCTCTGTCTCACCCACTCTTTGTCTCACTCACTCTGTCTCACCCACTCTTTGTCTCACTCACTCTCTGTCTCACCCACTCTCTGTCTCGCCCACTCTCTGTCTCGCCCACTCTCTGTCTCGCCCACTCTCTGTCTCACCCACTCTCTGTCTCACTCGCTCTCTGTCTCACCCACTCTCTGTCTCACCCACTCTCTGTCTCGCCCAC